ACTTCGTGTTGGCATATACATATTTTAAAATTCCTTTAACTTCGGTTTAAGCCTAGAATCGACTAAATCTTAGCTCTGATACCATTAATGTAACATCCCCAACCTGTACCTGACCCGGATACGAGTCTGAAATGTCACATTGACTTTTCAAACCGTTTACTTTTACAAAGTAGTTAAAAATTCACATTTGTATTAGAAACTGAATAACTTATATTAAATACAATCAAATAGTTTTACAAAACCGATCAGAGCATGTTCAACTAAATCTTTAATTACATGCCAACTGTACTCATTAAAATCAAATACACACAATCATTACTTTTCTAATATGATCTTCAAAAAGGAGAAGCTGACCTATCTTAACCCTCGCTACTTCTTAATATTCTCAGAACCTACGTGTAAAACATTCACACGCTAAGTCGATGACTTAGTTAGGCATATAACATGAATAATATAAACTCTAGATACTTAACAATGCATGAACATTTCACATTTTATATAATAATATAAAACAAGCATTATATAACACTTTATATAACCAACTATATACATACACACATATCATCGCTATCCTAATCACATGATTGTCATTATCATTATCATGCATCCGTTTAGAACATATAATCATGAAGTTAACTTTTATAACACTTCATACCATACCTTTGACAAGCAAAGAACATAGCATCACACAAGGTTTCTTTATGTTATCTCTTTTATTAGCCCATGTATACTTTTTGAGAACTAAAGATATGTGAGTACATTGAGGTTGTGCACATGTGTTGTCACCATAGCTCGTATAAGGTCCCACTAGGGGCATATAAAATTGTCCCGAAGGATCGCGTAGTAATGTCCCGAAGGACCACATATATGTCCCGAAGGACCACTCCTTAAGGATCACATATATATTCCAAAGGACCAAATATGTGTCCCGAAGAACCGCATATATGTTCCAAAGGATTACATATATATCTCGAAAGACCACATAGAACCCTTGACTCTTGGCATGCCAATTATACCCCTAGCTCTCATAACACATAACATGGGCATTATCATTTATGTCATTTCACATTTTTATATAGGCATGTGGTTCACTTACATGTAGAACATTTTCATATGATTCACATTCACATATCACATAGTCATTTAGTATTTCATATGTTCACTTAGATCATCACATATACCTTTTCTCATATACCTCATATCATGTCTCATGTAACCACATATGTCTTATCTCGTAACATATATCATATATTCACACCTTCACTTATCTCATATCATATAGTTTATGTTTCGTTCTCTTATGTTCACATAACATATAATTCATACAAGTCATATTCACACAATACCAATCCTAATCAATATTCTACTCATGCAATCATATATTTCAAAATGTAGGAAACAGACTTGTCGTAAGTGTAATTTCCCATCAGATCATACTTCATACTATTATGCACTCACATGGCCTCACTAGTCAATTCAAGCACTTTACTTTTTCTCGATCGATCTTATCTCATTGATTCATTCGGTACTTGCTTCCGATCGATATCTACACAATTATACAACTTATATGAATATCGGAATCCGAATTGCTTATAACCAATTAATATCAGTTAGGCTAGAAGAAACACTTGATTTAGCCTTTCTAATTGAATAGTATCGGTACTCTTACTATAGTACCGATACTACTCTTCTATGGTATTGATACTCCCTCTAGGTACTGATACCATTTTATCATTCTGTATTCATAACTTGGTATTGGTATCGACACTAGACGCTTGGTATCGATACCCCCTTCAATTAGTACCGATACCACTCTTTAGGTATCAATACTTCTTAAAGATTTCATCAAATTTTATCATATGGTATTGATATTGTTCCTTCAGTATCGATACCCCAAGCTCGAATTCTACTTAATTGACTTTGAAGTATCAGTACTATATGAACAGTACCGATACCCCATGCCCATAATACACTTCTTTAACCCGAAATTTTCCAAAACTAACTAAATTTCTACTCTACTAACTTCTTTCAATTCCTTAAACTCAAATATACTTACACAAACTATCTTATATCACTTTAGCACATCCAAACATCCAATATCTCAATAGAACACTTGAAACTAAAAATCTTACCAATTATTAAACTTTGTAATTCATCCTCTTTAATCTCTTATTATAGCTTATGACAACTCAAATATGACTTCTAAATTCATTAACAACCTCTGATTCAACAATTCACTTAAAAACTATTTATATTCAGTCTTCCATAACTTATTCCTCTTTTAGTTTTAAGCAATCTAATGCTTCCCTTAAGCTTTTTTAACACTCCAATAATCAAAAGCAACCTTAAAATTAAAGAAACAACCAATTTAAGCATTCCTTACCTTAGCTAGGAAGACACGGGAAGAGAAGAAGAAGAAGCTAGCTGAACTCATAAGTCTCCAGACTTTTCTTTCTCTTTTCCTCTTCCTTCTCCGCGTGTTTTATACCTCACCAAAAGGAAAGATAAAAATATTTCTTGGGAAAAGACCAATATACCCTCCCATCTTTCCTTCTTGACTAATAAGTCCTACACAAAGAAATTTCAATTAAACCCCTAAACTTTTAATTTTTTCCAAAATTGATCATCAAATTTCAAAAACTTCCATTTTAGTCACTAACCCTGATTTTGGGATGTTTCAATAAAAAAACATAAATGTTAATATTATTAATAATTTAATTTTTTAAAAACTAAAATTTTAATATATATTATTTTTTTGAGTTGCTCGCAAGGTTTTTGAGTCGAATATCAAGTAGCTTGTTTCGTTTGCTTAAGAACTCGAGCTTGATTCGAGTCTATTCGAGTCAAGTATTTTATCAAGCTTTGATCGAGTCGAGCTCGAGTAAGTCACGATTTGTCTACTCTTATTTACAGTCATATTCTTGTTGCATGTGTAACTCTGGTCCCACATGACGTACTTGGCAATTGTGAGCCAGTAAATTAATATTTTTGATGCTTGTATGATCTAGATCTCATCCAAATCATCAATGTTAGTATACTAGAGTGATGTGAGTTACTAAGGTTATGTGACATCATACTACATTATGATGTCTATATGTGTGCTTGTAGATGTGCGTGCGAACTATGTGAAACTGAACCTTATCCATGATATTTGCTTGCATTTATATATACTTGTATTATGTACGTCACTTGATGTTGTGTGACAACATGTATCATTGTTGGTTTTAGTATTTGAGGCTATGTAAAACCAGGGACTATAGATAATTATTAGCTAACGTTGAGTGGTACCATATAACTTATGGATTGTAAAATGATTGTGTGTAAGTCACAAAGTCGTGGATTAATAGTACTATTGAGTAAAGTATATACGAATGTTAATAAATATGATATTCATAAAATGAGGATGATATGTCATGATACTCCCTAAGTAGGGAAATACGTTGAGCCTTGATGACTAATTATGGAAGATTTATATTATGTTCAATATCTTTATGCTTATATTTTATCTGCATATTTGTATTTATGAAATATAATATAGTAGATGTGTATCACTGAGCTTTGTTAGTTTAGCGTTCATATTGTTTTCATGCGCCAAATACATGTTTTATGGATCACAATAGGATAATTACATCAATGGGAGAGTCTAAGTGAGGTTACCCAAATATAGTAAATGAATACATAGGCCGTCATGTAAGAGTTGTCTTTGGTATTGAGTTAATAATTATTTATGGCTTAATATTGTGCTCAAATTATACCATTTTCCCATTTAGGTGTCTAAATATTTTTCGGTCAATTCAAGTGTTTAACGTTACGAAACCTTATCATTTTAAGTGTTTCGAGAATAATGACCGTTAAAAAAATCCGTTAAGTGACATGTGTCATGTTTATAGAATTTTAAAAAAATTATACAAAATGAAATCTTAGAATTATATTTTTTTTAATTAAAAACCTAAAATTTTATAAAATTACAGAAAAACCCAAAAATTTTATAATCTCTAATTTCAGTTCTCTTTACCTTTGTCGGCCTCCACTAATACCAATGGCTTTGGTCATCGATCGATCCAACACTACCAACCAACACCCCATTGGGCGAAACCTCTTACTCCAACCCCCAACATTACTATCGAAATCTTAAATCACTACAAGAAAATATACTTTTAATGACACACGAACGATGACACACGTTAATTTATGACTTGCAAAACATGTGTGTCATAAAATAAATGTCATGTTTTTTTAAAATCTGAACAATTTATGACTTACAATAATGTGTGTCATATTTAATAGTTATAATCCATAAAATTTATAAAAACACAGAGTATACTTTTTAATTATGTGTCATCTTTAGAAGTCGTATTCTAATTTCCACCGTTATTTTCATTTTTTTTTGGCTTATTCCTCTCCTTTTCTCTCCTGCTTTACATCCCGATTCTCTTCTTCTATTAGGCATGAGTTTGAATCCCCAGCCTCTGCCGTCCATTTCCGTCTCTGATGAACTTGACGATCTCCATCTCTTCCACCGCACCATCGTCTCTCCTTCCGCCTCGTCCCACCTCTCCTCCTCCTCCCCTAAAATCGTTTTCCTTTTCTTGACCAATACCGACCTCCGCCTATGGGGACGAAGATGTCAATGGATGACAAAGAAGCCTACGGGGGCTTCGTCCAGGTGGATACAATGATCAGAAGGGTTTTTGTCCCTCCTATAATGGCAGAGGTATCTTTATAATAATGAACCTTTCTCACAACATGGATTGATGACTTTGGTTTGGTAGATGACAATTAAATGTTGTGATGTTTAGCAACTGATATGCAATTTTCTCTCAGTATTAGGAGAAGACGGAGTTTTCGTTCCAAATTATTCCCAAACTCGGTGCTCTTAGTATTGCGGGTGGTACCATCAAGGTTAGTCATATCTGGGTTTCGGTTTTTTAGCTTATTTGTTCCTTGGAAGTGGAAATTAAGTATGATGTTTTGTTATTACTGATTTTGTAGGGTTATGGATGCCCTGGTCTCTCGCTTACTGCAAGTGCAGAGATTGCTTGGGTCGATGCAAGTTGCTCAACTTTTATCTTGGTGCATTCATCTCTAGCCATGCTTACCATTGGTGAGATCTGTGAAACGACTTTCTATAATTCTTTTTAATTTATGGATTCACTTTGTTATGGTTTTCTTTAAAAGAAGCTAAACAACTAATCACGATCTTCTACACTTGTCTAGACCATCAATGATAGCATTATGCGGGACAGAGGAACAGAAGCAGAAGTATTTACCTTCTTTGGCCCAGTTAAAAACTGTAGCTTATTAGGTAGGTGTTATTTTCCTCATTAACTTCCTGGTTGATCCTTAGTGTCTTTTTGAGCCATAATTGAAGAAACTTAATGTTATATTTAGGCTTTGACTGAGCCTGACTATGGAAGTGATGCGAGTTCTCTGAAGACAACTGCAACAAAGGTCTATCCACAACCTTGTATTTTAGTTTTCACATATATTCGTTTAATATAGCTAATTTCAACCACTTATCAAAATTCTAACTTTTTTTTGTTATATCATTTTTGCTTTCATCTCAAACATTTAGGTCAAAGGAGGTTGGATACTCGAGGGACAAAAACGCTGGATAGGAAACAACACTTTTGCAGATGTATTGGTTATCTTTTGCAGATCCAAAAGGAGGAGCCAGAGGGAGACCTGGAGGGAGGCCAATGAAAGACGACAGTGGAGTATGGGATGGAGAAGTGCCTGATACATGGAAACGTGTAGATAAAGCTGAGGTACTTTTTTTCCTTCAATGGATTTTTAAAAATCGAAGTGGCTATTGGATATGATTAGTGAAGCAAGAGTTCTTCTTTGATAGCTTGCTCGTTGGGTTCGCGAGATGAGAGAGTCGAGAACAGCTCTGGTGGCACAGAAGTTTGAGCGTAAAGCAACTGCACCAGCGGGGAGAGTGCTTAACACTATGCAATCGTTCCCTCATAGCGTGGACTGTGTTGATCCACTTGGACTAGGGTAAATCTTTTCAGCAACTTCTTATTAATTGATATTCATTTTTTTGTTTAGTTTAGAGTAATTCACTCTAATTCAATCTAGTTATGTCTCATTAAGATAAGACCGTGAGAGAAGTTAGTTCTATTATTAATTATTGTACTAATGTGATTACATGAATTGTTGCCTGGTATTTTTTTAGCCTTAACTGGAGTCAGTGGATCCTCAATTTCATCGGCTATAAGTTTTTCTTCTGACCTCTATGTTTTCTACGATTGGCAGAATAATAGACAACAAGACCTTCAGGTTGGTCAATGATTCATCTGAAAGCACTCGCGTTGAGAAAGATCATATCGACAGTAACGTCTGTGGTATATTTTTTTTCCTGTCTTCCGTATATTTTATGCAGATTATACTTCGTAATAGACTTTAATAACAACGTCACTCTCACAAACTGTGTATCTGCAATCTAAAATATATAGGTATTTTAGATGGGTATCACTTGTCTGAATTCCTCAATGAGCTGCTTTTCTCCCTTGAATATTTTAATTTTATACCTAAAACTCTAATGCCCGTAATTTTTCAGTAAATGAAATGCCAGTGAATTATGTAATTTGTTTAGTGAAACTTTGCAGAGAAGTTGATGTATTTCTCTGAAAATCTTGATGCAAAGTTGTTTCTGTCCCGGATACACCAAGATACACCACCTGCTGCAGACTTGGAGGCTGGAGCTCTTGCACTAAAAAACAGATCTCCAAGGGCAGACTCAGCAGAGGAAACAATTGGTTAAAGACAATTTTGAATGTTTTGTTTCATGCAAAACAACAATTGATGGTAAAGCACCTCGCTTCACTTGATTCTGGTAATACTTTAACTATGGAAGTGCAATTTTCTTATGGGCTAAAACAAATTTATTGGCATACTCTTTGCCATATAAGTTCATAGAATTTTAGCTGTTTGCAAACAGTGCTAATTTGGGGATGGTACTTGCATAGATATCGAGTCAAAACTGAAGCGAATCGAGGAAGACCCTGAAGGTTCAGGGACAGTTAACTTGTACAAATGTATGCAAGGAGTATGTTCACAGGCAGAACGGGCCTTTGAGCCTCTATTTGAGAGACATGTTGGTTAATTGCAGGTGTTGGTTTGCTTTCAAATTCATTTATGATTATGCTACTCAAACATGGGATATGATTTTGTTGTGGTAGACGTGAAGTGACGGATTCTTGTTGTTATCTAATATGTTAGTTGACTCAATGCCTGAATGCTTTACCCGAATTCCATCGTCACTGTCGTGGTTTAGATGGTATAGTTCCGACGATTGGTCGTGTCGCTAGTTTTACTCCACTGTTGCTATATAGTTGCGAGTTATTGCACATATACAGATAAGTGTAGATAGACAGTCATAAGAGCTCAATTAGGCATCTTGTAGTTACGGTCTTGGTTTTAAAAAGCGTAAAGCACCCTAAAGAGCCTAGGGTCCTAGACGCCGAAGCGCTAAGCGAAAGCGCTCGCTTTATGCACACGAAACGTCAAAAAGGCCGAAATTCACAAAAAATACATAATATTTATAAATTATCTTATAAATACTTAAATATCAAAGTGTCAATGCATATATTCAAAACTTATAAGTACTTAAACACCAAAATATAATTCTCAATTTACTTATAAGATATAAACACTTAAATACTTATATACCATTAACCATACGACTATACGAGCATATTAATCTCAAAAGATGGTCTACACCAAAAGTAGTCTAAAATGAGATGAACAAAAGTATTTTTCTAAACCCTCAATTCCTTATAACTAAAAATTTTCTAAATCGTCATCAACTCGGTCAACACCATCTCCTTCATCACTAGACACTCCAATATCTTCTTCCATCTCATCTTCATCAACTAAGCATCTACGAGATGGTCTACTAGAGATAGGATTATGAGCAGGAGATTTTCCTTTATCATTTCTCGATGGTCCAACTCCATCATTCACTACTTTTGATGCTCTAGTTAGATAACTAGGCTCATATGCACCGGAAGCGTTAGCAACATCACTCCATGTCAAATCCTCACCAACAAACACCGCTTCATCATCATCTTCCATTCTTCCCATCAACCACTCATTGCTCTCATCAATATCTTGCAAAAAGAATGGGATCGATCTCCTTACTTTTAGCTCGGCGCTCCAAGGCACGATTGAATTTTACAAACACCATGTCATTCAATCTAGATTGTGCTAATCTATTTCGTTTCTTAGTGTGAAGCTATAAGAAAAAAAACCAAAACTAGATGTTAGCAACATTATGCATATATATATATATATATATATATATATATATATATATATATATATATTTTCCAGCAATATTATTAAGAAAAAACATGTAAAAATAACTTACTTGTTGAAAAACACTCCAGTTTCTCTCAGAACTTGTAGCACTACAAGTGAGACTAAGAATCCGTATAGCAAACTTTTTCAAGTTAGGAGCCGAAGATCCATACATTGTCCACCAATCAGCTATAAAAAAAATGTAAAATGAACATGAAGCATAAATTATATTTGAGAGAATAATTAATATAATTTAAAACTTAAAATATAAAGTAGCTTTTTTTTTCTTGGTGATTTTGTTTTCCTTTGCCTAACAGCCAAGCTAATACCAAAGAGACCTTCTGCCTTTCGGTATTTAACTAACTCGTCTGAAATCTTGTCTTGAGTTTCTTGGTCGCGAACAAGCCTCAACATGCATTCATAAAAACCATTTTCAACTTCTTCACAAAGCACACCACCAACTTCATCATAAAAGATCCTCGGGTTCAAGAAATGTCCCGCAGCATGCAAAGGTTTATGTAGTTGACATTCCCACCTATGATCTATAATTTCAAAAGCTTTCTTGTAAATCATCTTCTCGATTCGGAAAACTATCACGAATTGCCTCCTTAGCTCTATCCATTACCTCATAGATGTACCCCATGGCTGGATTTTTTTCTCCATCAACTAGTCTAAGAACTTTCACTAAGGGGTCCGTCAACTTGAGAGAATAAAGTACATTCCTCCAGAACGTTTCTTGCAAAAAGTAAGACTTTATTTTCTTACCCGTGGGTTCTTTAGACCACTTGCTCGCTTCCCACTCTTGAGAAGTCACCATCTTCCTCAAATTATTTTTTTGTTTGTGGATCTGGGCAAGAGTGATGAAGGAAGTAGCAAATCTTGTGATGGCCGGTCTATGCAAGTTTCTTTGGTTTGTGAACTTTCTCATCAAGTTCACAAAACCAACATGACTATATATATATCCATTTGAGTAAATGGCCTTTTTTAAAGCATTTTTAACCCTAGGAATGTGTTTGCCAATATCCTCCAACATCAAGTCTAGGCAGTGTGCAGCACATGGTGTCCAATAGAGATGTGGTCTTTTAGCTTCCAATAACTTCCCTACAAAGTTAGAGGAATAAGATGAGTAGATGACATTAGACAAAAGATTATCAAAAGACTAAAGTTGCAACTCAACTCTTACCTGCCTTCACATAAGCTGATGCATTATCAGTCACCACCTGCACCACATTCTCTTCACCAACTTCCTCCACCATTTTATCAAGAACATGAAATAACAAATCAGCATCCTTTGAAACATCAGATACATCAAGTGACTTCACGAAGACCGAACCCTTTGGGGAGTTTACCAGGAAGTTGATGATATCTTTTAGAACAACGGAATCACGCCATCCATCCGATAGTATTGAACAACCTTTTTCTGCCCATTCTTTCTTATTTTCCACAATTTGGTTTTGAACTTCCTCTACTTCCTTGTTAAGTATGGGAACTCTTAACTCGTACATACTTGGTGCTTTTATCCCGGGGCCAAACTGTCCGATTGCTTCGATCATTATTTGAAAACTCTCATATGTTGCGGCATTAAAAGGAATACCTACATAAAAAAATATTTCCATCAGCATAAACAAAAAAAAAAGACTTCCAGCAACTTAAAACTAAAAAAAAAATTAAATATTTAATTATTTATAATACCTGCATCGTTAAACCACCTCCCAATCTCATGACAAACTTTATCCCTAAGGTTCTTTCGACATGTTTCATTGATGGTTTGTTGTCTCCCTTCCTTCCTAGCTTTGATTGCTTCTCGAGGATTAGGAGTGAAGTACATGTCTATAGGACCTTTTTGCCTTGGTTTTTTGGGTGGGGGCATCTTGCTACTACGACCGCCTATTTCAACATCTTCTTCTTCACCATCGTATTCATCAGCTTGTTGTTGGTGCATCCAGTTTTTTGCTTGCATATGTTGTTCTGCCTTTTGCCGTTTGTTTCTTCATCATGAACAAGTTTAATTCTTCCCGCACATGCTCCGGACAGTTTGGACATTTACGAGCATCCTTAAAACCACCAATCATATGCAGTTTGATCCGAAACACACCTCCCTTAAATGTTTGTCCACAAAAAGAGCATGTAAAGCTGATTTTATTATTCGGATCTTGTATTGTATATTTCCTAACCGGGTCTTCTGACCCGTTCTTTGAAGAACCCGCCTTACCCGCCATTGAAGTCATTCTATAAAAGATAAATTAAACATAAAGTCAAACTAAAATAACAAGTCAAACTAAAATAACATAAAGCAATACCAGTAATCCAGTATACAAAGTTACAAACTATACCAGTAAGGCAGTAACAACTATAAAACAGTTTAACAAGCATTTTGCTTGCCTTAGTCTACATGTAAAATTCAGCAATACTAAGTACTTAAAGAAGGATAAAGCAATAAGCTATAAAGAAGAACAGTATTCTATAAACTATAAAACACAATTTTGCAATAAACTATAAGTATATAAACAACAGAATTACGTACCGGTTGATGAAGTGCAGCAGTAGCGTGACTCGAGTGAGATGAGAGGAAGATGATGATCAAAACTTGAGTCGTGTCTCGTGAGTCAGGAGTCGTGAGCGTGAGGCGAGAGGCGTGGAAGATGATCGCTCTCTAGGAATTTTTTACCGCTCAAGCTCAACCTCAATCGTTCTCTAAACTCTTATATTATCGCTTATTTCAATCACATTTTTTTACCCTAGCCCACCTAAACTAAAAGACAATCTAAGTCTAATAATCTAATAGCCCGCTAAACCCTAAACAAGCCCAAAAATTGTATATGCTAAAGCCCAGAATCCTATCTTCTAAATTCGCGATTAAGTGCCGATTAGCGCTTTGCTAAAAGCGCTGTAAAAGCGTCGATTACTACCGCTTAATGAATTCGTAGTGCTTTTGCTATGCTGAAGCGCCAGAGGCCTCGCTCGAGTCGCTTAGCGCTTTAATCGCGCTTAAGCGGCGCTTTTTTAAACTAAGGTTACGGTGACGGTCAATATGTTGGCAGGTTCAATGAATTTGGGGTCGACAGCGGGCTTACAGCGAAGGAGTTGATACCAAAGCTTGATCTTGCTAAGAAACACATATCTTCGCAGCTCCATGTGGGTTTGCCGGATATCGAAGTAAGATATTCCTTTTCTCTCTTAATCATCTACGATAAATTTATTTCTTTTGTGGAATATTAAGTTCGTGTTAAATGTTAATATGATATATGATTTTCATATTATGGAGACCTCTCTTAAACGCAGGTTAAACAATTAGTTTCGGCTGCTATTGCTTTGAAAAGACTCGGTGCTATTCTATTTGTATTTGGCCATGGCTTTGGAGCCTTCCTCCTGGTGAGATTTTTGTTTCTCAAGAGTGATTATTTTGGTTACGTTTGAACTATGAAGTTATATGTTAATTCCACCAAGCAATTACGTTTGATTCTACTTTCGTGTCTTGTCTAATTGTTCTTTCTTTTGACGTAGTTTATGTATTTGCTGGTTAGCACTCTTATTCTCTATGACTTCTACAACTATCGACCTGAAGAGCCCCAGTACGCTGCTCTGCTCGGTGATTTTCTGCAGGTATTTGTATATCCATATCCGAAGTGTTTCCCTATGCATTACGAAATACAACATGCAAACATCATTGATTCTTTCATTAATGGCAGTCTGTTGCGCAATGCAGTGCATTATTGTTCTTCTGGGGGTTGAAGAGCTTGATCACAAAGAGGCAACTAAGGAAGAAAGTCGTGAAGCCGAAAACTGCTTAGATATATCGAAGTGGTAGCAGGTGAAAGATTGTTGATTTGCAGTGCCAGGTAATATTTTGCAGGATCATCCGTTACCGAACCAAACTTTTAGTAGTTAAGCTTATTTTAGTTATTTATTCACCGGAATATTCAAAAAATACGTTTGCAGATTCAAATATTTTCCCTTCGATTACAAGTTTAAGTTTAAAAGTAGTGTTTGACTGAATCCGTCGCTTCATGACTCCACAGCAATATTTATGACAGGCAAAATCAATTGCTCTCCCCTCCCATGTAAGCAGAATGCTTGGAATTGTTATGTAGAAGGTAGAAATGCGTGAACACGGTTGGTGTGGTATTTGGTTGTAGTGCATATAGTGAACATATTATTTGATGTTTGAGCATGATTTTAGTCAAAATTCTAGCCATAAATCCATTGCATCTATAAACTAATTTGTTATACATTATTTATATGCATTATGTGTCACATGATTTTGGTGGTCTTATTCTTAGTTCAGGATTGTTCTGTACTCGAGTCTGTTTAAATAGAGGCCTTTCAAGAACTATGTTTGTGAAGACATTATGTATGGGTTGAAGAATACCATATCTATAATCCATAATTAATATAATTTCACACGGCCCGTTGCTCTTTATTTGCTTAAGCAGGCAAACTTAGCATTATTTGTTATTTTCAAGTAAAAATACTAAAAGAAGTTCTTGAAGAGGTTGAAAGAGTGATGCAAGAATTCAAAGGCACGCTTTACAAGTCCATGGAAGATCCACAAATACACCTAACAAGTGTAAGCATTTGATAAGCCCTTTTCAATATTTTGACAATTTTTACTTGTGAGGAAATGTATAATTGATGTTGATTTAAGACCTAAATTTTCATGGATATTTGTTCAATATTAATGCTCGTGGTATTAAAATATTATTGCTCTATCTTAATCTGGATGTTGAGGTGAGTATTAGATTCAAATATGTATCTGATATAGATATGTGGTGGATTATACTTCCATACCTATATCCAAACATGTGTCAGCCATAAGTGTAGAACTCAGGTACTTTAAAAAATGGCATGTTCGGGCAACATAACAATTATTTGATGCTTACTGACCCATGAGATGCAAGCTTTTTTCCCACTAAATCAATTTTATGATGTTAAAATCAGTTTTTACAAAATTTTCTGAGTTGCTTGGGTAAGCTTTGAGTGGGGATGTAGATAAAGAGAACATACTAGTATTCTACAAACCAAAGGACTGCTATTGAGAAGTCAATGAAATGATTTCCATTAATTACCATGTTGGAATGCTCCTGTTTTCATTTGAGTTGTAATGTTCCATGATCTATATGCCCTTCCTGTTGTCTTAGGAGTAGAAGTACGAGATATTTATGCCAAAAAGTTGTGAGATGGTTGAAAATGGAATCTTGTTTTTTTTTGTTGAATTGGTGAGAGTATGAAACTGGAGTTCTAGGATATTGTCATAAATGTTATTTCTTACTATAAAGCAAATTATTGTGGCATTCAAGCCTGAGATTGAACAAATGCCGTTTTATTGATCTTACTTGCATTTTAAGCTGACCAAAAATTAGTTTTTGGGAATTCATATTTTTTAGGTTGATGAAATGATTTCCATTGATGTACACTACTTAACCATCTTTTGAAGATGTTTACTGCTTTGGGCATTTACTTGGAAAGTTTTGAGAAGCCTTTCCTGGAGTGCACATCCGAGTTTTATGCAGCTGAAGGAATGAAATAAATGCAGCAATCAGATGTTCCAGATTACTTGAAGCATGTAGAGGTGCCTCTTCATATTTCACTTTCTCAGTTAGCAGTGATTGTTACTCTGTATTTGAATTGTGCATGTTTTATCCTTCTAAAAAGAATGTTAAATTTGTCACATTATTCCATATATATGGAATTTGAATGTTTATCACTTAATGTGAATATATTATATGCAAATGGATTGCTTATATATAATATGATATATATTTAGTATTACAAGGCATTAAATGTGAATTAGCTTGATTATTTGTCAATCTACAATATATATATATATATATATAATTTACGAAATACAATCATCTTCATTTATGACGGGGGCTTCAATGACACGCAATGTAAGTCATAAATGCGTGTCATAAATTTATGACACACAAATGTGTGTCATCTTCATTTATGACAGGGGCTTCAATGACGCGCAATGTGCATCATAAATGATGCGTCATAAATGAGCGTCATAAATGCGTGTCATAAATGCGTGTTATAGATTTATGATGCACAATTGTGCATCATCTAAGATTCATGTCGATGGCTTCAACGACAGGCATTTGTGTGTCATCCGCACTCATAGATGACGCGCAATGCACGTCATTAAAGAGGTTTTTTCTAGTAGTGAATCTTAATAAACAATTTCCTAAATCCTTAAATACCAAAACTCAAATTTCAAAATCTCAACGGGATTGAGAAATTTGCTTGCCGATATGCGGGGATGGGGTTCATATGTGGAGTTTAGAGGAAGGAATTGTATTGTAAAGTTTATAACTTTTTCTTAAAAGGTAGATTTTTATTTTGGTTTAGCGTATTGAGAAAATCTTTCATTATGCAGAGCTAAGGTAATGGATGAAAAATATTGAAGTGTTGAATTACAAAATATCAACCGTATTCATTTTTCTATCATTTCTTATTGATTTATCAAAATTTTATTCATCAATTCAACTGTTCCCTCGATAATTATCGAGCTAACCCAACCTCTATCCTAATTATGCCTTGACTAAATAACTAATTCAACAATTAAATCAATTCAAATTAACTAGAGCATTGACGCATACAATGCAAAAGAGAATTTAATGTGCAAAAGGAACATATGGTAAAATATTTTGCATAGAAAATACAGTTACTTTTCGTTTGAGAAGCAACCAGAATACATAGATTCCTCCTAAACCTATTATTTAATTTGTTAGCTTTTATTTTCTCAAATCCAACTTTAAAAAGGAACCTAGCGTGTAAAGGTTTTTTAATATACAATTAAAATTATAACTAATATATTTGCATAATTAAAATTAATTGGTATAATATACAAATAAAATATTAATATTGAAAGTTAATAGATTTACATAATTATGATTAAAATGTCTTTGAACCTGGCAGAATGAATCTCAACAAGACAACAAATAATGGAGCATGGCCCAAAATAAAATTCTAAATTTAGAGGACTGCACTAGAGAATGAAAGTGGGCTTGGCCCTCCTTAAATGTGAAACTTTATGTTTAGTTCCTTCAAAATTTATGAAATCATAAACTAGTACAACAGTAAATTCATTCTTTGACCCCTAAGAATTAATAATCTAGTCTAAAATACTATCTTATAATCATCCTAGACTATTAAAAAAAAGCAAAATGGTTCATCCATTAAAAATTTCATCCATTTTAGTGTTGATTGTTGAAGTGATAATTACAAAAAAAGGGATAAAATAACTTTTAATCCTTAATGTTTGCAGTTTTTATCAAATTATCCTTTTTTTCAGTAGAGGAGCCAAAAAGAAATCTAAGATATAATACAGGAACTGCTATGGTAATTTTACCTATTGCAGTGGTAGATTACAATTAGTAATACATAATCTACTCCCGACACCGGAAATTAAACATCAAACAAGCAGGCTAATTAAGATGATTATACACAAAATCCAACTTCTATTTGAATTTGTAACCACGTTTCAAAGTATATTTAACAAGCTTGTCCAACTCAGCCTGACCGATGTAACCATCGCCGTTAACATCTGCATGGCGCAGCGCCAGCGACGCTCGAACACGAGGCATTCGTGACCCGAGGCTGGCGAAGGCTTTCTTAAGCTCTTGTTTCCTAAGAAACCCATCTTTGTTAGTGTCATAGCGATTGAAGACACCCTTCACCAGATCCTCATTTGCGGCCACCCCTGCGTGCTTGTCGGTTCTTACGGCCCTTGGGCAAGCTTTGTCGACGCTTTTAGGTGATGCCATTCAACTACAATCAGAAGCAAAAAGGGTTTAATTTTTTAGCTTGGGTTCTTGCTCTCTAATTTGTACATGAACTTTCAAATATATAGTACTTGGAAAACATTATTAACCATTAAAATAATTAGAAATTAAAAAAAAACAATGTAAATATTAGTTATTGTAAAAGTCCCACTATCATTGGAAGAGTTTTTTTCTTTCTTTCTTTTCTCTGTGTTGAACCCGAGCTAAAATTATACAACTTTCGGCGAAGCTTTCAATCATATGATGTATTACTATATAGGAAAAAGAACCATACACTATATACTTCATTTTATTATTTTCTCAGTATGATAAATAATAAACACTACTGTGTCAGTTGTGAATTTTTTATACACGAATACAAAGGTTCCCAAATCCTCAATATATTTTTATCAATTCACATTTATTGTTGTGGTACATATATAATAGTGTTTTTCATTATTAGATAGATATGTTTGTATTGCTTTATATATTCCTTATGATAGGTATCACTTTAAATATATACTATAATGTTTGAGGTAGGCTCCAAGGGGTAAGGGAAAGAATATTTATTACAAATTAAGATTATTAGAATCAAAATCAAATGGTAAAGACAAAAGTGCTTTAATTTGATTCTGCCCCCATTATAGACAGAGAGCTATAATGGAAGGTGAAGATGAGAAGGGCGGCACTGCGAACGTGGATGAAATTGAAAATTACTTGAGAGGATCATAATATCCACAATAATTTTTATTGAGGTTTGGCCTTCCAAAGAGGTTAAACAGGAAAATTAATTAATACATGAATTGAAGATCTTGTAGACAATTACTGTAAACTATTTCTTTCTTCCATTAACTATGAGTTATTAACAAGTTAAAAAAACATCCATATTAAAAATGGAATTGGAATATCTCTTCCTTTATTAGGCCGATGAAAGTCGCACTCACAATTGCTCATAGTAAGATCAGCTTAATCAACTTTAAATTAAATAATAGTCTTGCTATACCACTTCCTACCTCCAGAGTGTTGAAAATTGGCACACCAAATTGCATCAATTGTCAACATTATGGGTGGCAATTTGGTGGCATTAATGGGGTGGCAAAATTGGTCAAATTTGGCCACCAAATTGTTGAAAATTTTGGATGGTAAAACTATGCAATTAGTCATTGTAATTTAGGGTATTTACAAATTAGTCCTTAAAGCTTCAACTATAAATACCCT